CACCACACACCGCACGTCCAATACAAATAAATCAGACAAAGCATATAAATCTAAATTGTATCGCATTGTGGCGCATTTTGGCTCCTTTGCACACCTTATGCTGCTTTATTGGCTCCAGCCAAGGGCACCCTTTCGTGCCGTGTATTTCATTCCGATTCAAGGGAAACTCGCTTGTACCTTCTCCTGAGTGAGCCTTGAGCTGAAGGCTCCCTCTCCTTGTTGCTGGCACCTTCTCGTATGTACATATAGTATGCCGGGTACCCACCCGGGTATCATCACTTCAATTGCCTGCCACGTTGATTTTCCATCAATTTTGGGTGCCCCTTGTGCTCTTGGCTCTTGCCGACTCTCTGTACGAGCTGTGTAAATCCCTTTGATTGCTACACATTGCTGCACTCCTGTGGTCGTCTGTGGCAAATGGGCGCAATTATCGAGGAGTTTATTGAATGCTAAAACGTCTGCACTCACGGGCACACCCACGGCGGTACTGCAGCGGGTACTACGCACATTGTTCCCATTTTGTGGGAGAGTAGAACCGCGTTTAGAAGAGTGTGTGCTCCTAAAAGGTAGATCCTAAGAGTAGCACAGAGGTCTGGCTACAGCCCTAATCTGCTGGGGACGGACCGTTCCTAATGCCTCGTTTAGCGCCTTGAACTTTAAGCGCTTTCATGTCGCTTTCAGCCCTGCCAGAAGAACAAATCCCCAAATTGCGTAATAAATAAAATGCATTTGCGTGGAAAATTAGGAAATGGCAAAAATACCCAAAAAAAAACAAAAAATAACGCACACAAAAAATTCAAATTTCCACAATTTCCACATTTTTTTTTTTTTATAAACTCGCTCGCAGTTTGCAACTCCCAGAGTTTGCTCCCATCACAGAGAGCATAAATCTTAGGCAGAGCTCAGACGCAGACACAGAGACAGAGGCAGGGGCAGAGTCAGGGGCACAAACAAATCGCCTTAGACATTTTCTTGTTACTTGAATTCTCTCTTTTTCTGTGCACAAATCGGAGGAGATTACATAGAAGTTTGTTTGTTCTTTAAAACCGCCTTCGCGTCAGCTCCGCTCCGGAAGAACTCCGGGTAATGGCTGAAAATGAAATAAATGCAAATTTTACAACTATTTTTTCCCGAGAATTGTTTTCCTTTGAAGCTGATGGCTGAAGGCTGAAGGCTGAAGGAGCTCCCTCGCCGCTAGTCGCTGGGTTTAGCCATCAAAGTGCGGCACTCTTCCTTTCTGTCTGTCTGGATTTGACTTGACTTGACAGGACAGTGTCCTCCGCAAGGCACTTCATATCCAATTTCAAGCTATTGACACAATGAAGCACTCTTGAGTTTTACTCTTTCGCTCGTCGGAGTGACTTTACAGGACATAAAAAGTGGCAAACTAAATAAATACAGCGAAAACCCTGTTTTTGGGGCTGTAAAAAGATAACAAAAGATGTCATTTGTGATTTGTGATTTGTGATTTTTGTTCCCCTTTTTATTCGCTTTATTTGAAGTTTATTTACTGCCATGGTATATGTTTATTTCTACCAATAACAGATTAGTTGTGGCCAAGTTAGAACCACTTGAATGTGGCACATTTTGTAAGGGCAAGACATCTGTCGTCCTGTCTCTTTGAATCGTCACAAGAATCATCCGAATGCTCCGAGGCGGGATGCCGGGATGTCGGGATGCCGGCGAGTTTATCCGCGCTGGCGCACTGCATAACCATTCAGCGGGAGAGCAGCAGCTGAATGACGAGAAGAGGAACGTCTTGCATGTAAACAAAAACAGATGCATGCAACAGATAGATGCATGCCTCCTGGGTCTTAGAAATTTGTAGATCGTTCGGTGGGGCGTTAGGAGGGCTGCATTGCTGGTGTCACACGGGCCACTTCAATTGTTTTCAAGGAAGAAATTTCTTCAAACTCTACCGACAGTATTATTGTACCCGATACTCAAAGATTATGGGGGTATATTAGATTTGTGAGATTGTGCTGAAAGTGAGTGTGTCTAACCCCATTAAGTATACATATTCTTGATCAGCAACAACAGCCGAGTCGATATAGACCTCGGAGACTATAACAGCTTAAGAGAGAGAGAGAGAGAGACAGATGTAGCGGAATAGAAAACAGTGCATTACCTATTACGTATAAAATATAATATATGTATGTATAATACAATATATAATATTCCAACAAATCAATTTCACGGATACACCACCACCAAATTAGAAAGCGAGGGGGAACGTTGTGAGTTGCTGCGGCGACCGCAGCTCTACATTTATAGCCGATACATTGTAGGTATGGCAACATTGAGCGACGTGCGGGAGAGACAGAAAACGTGTCTGAACGTGTAGCGCTGCGTAGCGACTGCAAATTGATTTGTTCCTTTTAGATATAAACATTATCCGATCTGACTCAGATTCGGAAATCTGATAGAAATGGTCATTCTCTATCTTCAATATTGTGGATACCACAGATGTTCGTCCTTTTTGGGCGAAATTTTGAGATATACGTTTTATAGTGAGATCTAAGAGGAGTGTGGATACCAAATTTGGTAACTCTAGCCTTAATAGTCTCTGAGATTTGTGGATGCCGAAGATTTTCGTCCTTTGCGGGGCCGGAAGGGGGTGTGGCGAAATTTGGACACAAAACGGTCAAGGTCCGATATCACAGGAGTGTGGATACCAAAATTTGGTTGCTCTAGCTTTTAAAGTCTCTGAGATCGTTGAACTCATATTTTGCAATAGGCAAAACCGACCATGAAACCTGTGTGTTAGAGAGAGACAGAGCGAGAAAGAATGAAATTGTTTTCTTGATTCTGGCTATATTATTTGTACGATCTGGTTCAGATTTTGCACTCTAGAAGATATAGTCTTCCTCTACGATTCTGCGTTTTCTATTTTCTCGTATCTTTGAAATTGTGGATGCCACAGATTTTCGCCTTTTGTGGGGGCGGAAGTGGGCGGGGCAATGCTTTGAAATATATTTGTAACAGTGACATATCAGAGAAGTCTGGATATAAAATGTCGTTGCTCTAGCTCTTTTAGTCTTTGAACACTAGGCGCTGATAGGGACGGACAGGGCTCAATGGACTCGGCTATTGATGCTGATCAAGAATAAATATACTTTATGGGGTCGGAAACGATTCGTTCTGGACGTTACACACCATTTTCACCACAAATCTAATATACCCCAATACTCAGTTTGAGTATCGGGTATAAATACCCGAAACACATCCAGTAGACCATTATCGTCTAACCCTACCGGCCAACCATTGTCACCCTCATATTCTCCGCCCGAAGATGAACTTCACGTTTTCTGTTTTGCTGTTCCTAGTTCTCCTCGGAGAAGTCACGTCCGAATGCTGCAGACCACCTTGCTCAGATGGAACTTTTGGGAGTCCTTATTGCGGCGTTGGCAGGTGCAATATGTTCGGATGCAACTGCAATGGCGGGTGTAGAAGAAGAGGATCAGACGCTTCTTGTTGCCGCCCTCGAAATGGAAAATGCGCAGATGGAACTAAACCGACTCCCTATTGCGGCTATGGCAAGTGCAATATTATCGGATGCAACTGCGACGGCGGGTGTAGAAAAGGCGGTCCTTGTTGTTTCGCGCGTATATTTGGAAGGGCCGCGCCGATTTTGGCGGCCGTGGGGGCTGCGGCGGCGGATTCGTTGAACTCCAATATTGTTTCAGATGTGTATGCCGTGACTACTAATCCAATAAAAGTGGGGACGGGTTGGCGTTGCGCAGATGGATCTAAGGGGACCCCTTATTGCGGCGTTGGCAAGTGCAATATTATCGGATGCAACTGCGACGGCGGGTGTAGAAAATGAAGGGTCAGATATTTGTCAAAGACGTTATTTATTGTAACGATAGCCCGTGAAAATGCAAAATAGATTTATACCTTGGGCCAAGGTTCATCTTGAACAGAACAAAGTTTTTTAAATTTCTAGTTTGGTTTTACCAACAAATCAATTTTACGGATGCACCACATTAGAAGCATGGCATACCGAATTGGATAAATACCCGAAACATATCCAGTAGACGGTGGGAAAGTTTGTATATTATCGTCTAACCCTACCGGCCAACTATTGTCATCCTCATATTCTCCGACCGAAGATGAACTTCACGTTTACCGTTTTGCTGTTCCTAGTTCTCCTCGGAGAAGTCACGTCCGAATGCTGCAAAGGAGGTAAATGCGCAGACGGAACTTGGTCGAGTCCTTATTGCGGCGTTGGCCAGTGCAATATTTTCGGATGCAATTGCAAAGGCGGGTGTAGAAAAGGCGGTCCTTGTTGTTACACGCGTAGATATGGAAGGGCCGCGCCGATAGCGGTCGCGCCTGTGGTTGCGGCTGCTCAAAAAATAAAAAGTTTGATGGATTTGCGTTGCGCAGATGGATCTAAGGGGACCCCTTATTGCGGCTATGGCCCGTGCAATATTTTAGGATGCAACTGCGACGGCGGGTGTAGAAAATGAAGGGTCAGATATTTGTCAAAGACGTTATTTATTGTAACGATATCCCGTGAAAAAGCAAAATAGATTTATACCTTGGGCCAAGGTTCATCTTGAACAGAACAAAGTTTTTTAAATTCCTAGTTTGGTTTTACCAACAAATCAATTTTACGGATGCACCACATTAGAAGCATGGCATACCGAATTGGATAAATACCCGAAACATATCAAGTAGACGGTGGGAAAGTTTGTATATTATCGTCTAACCCTACCGGCCAACTATTGTCATCCTCCTCGTAATCGCTTCGACCGAAGATGAATCTTACGACTGTCTTGCTGTCCCTAATTCTCCCCAGAGAAGTTAAAATGAAAACCGTAGAGTGTGCGAGCAAAAGCGTTAAAATAAGAAGGCCACCGTTGAATCTGTTGCAACCAAACTCTTCTAGTCTGCCATGATAGTCTAGTCTGCTTTCAAGATAAATTGGACATTCTTCTTCTGCCCGAAATTCGACATGTAGTATACATATACAAATGCATGTATACTCTACATCTTACATGTAAAGTAAGTTAAACGGTTTTTTGTTCAACGAAAGCACCGTGACAAAAGTATCTCCGTAGCGGAGACAACAACCCTGACTGACAAAAACTGACTGCCACACCACCCACCCTCGAAGGGAAGGAAACACTACGGCACAAGGATATTTTCCTATTGGAAAACATCGTAAACACCCCCGGGGCAGCTAGACCAATCCAAATGCCGCAAACTGTTGCCAATCCAAAATGGCTTCCTCCTCGCAGATGTTGCTGGTGAAAAATCCAATAAGCAGAGCAGAGCAGAGACCCGGACGCGGACCCGGACCCGGGCCGAGCTGATTTCAGAGGCAGAAAGGACAATCAGAAGTTATTGCAACACAGTCTTCCAAGCAGAACAGACCCAAGGTCTTCCAATTACAGCAGATATCAAATCGCACAGCCATGCAGCACCCCCACCCCAGCGACCAGCCCACTTACATGCCGGACGTGCCGTTCCAGCCCCTATGGGGCCAGGAGGCGCCACCACCTCCGCCCATAGTGCCCTACCAAGAGCTCATCGCTGGCTTCCCATGCACCGATTTGTGTAAGTACTCCGGCAAAGAAATCTCAAGAGATCTTGGCTTCAATAAATCGGAATCGAATCCGCAATCCTTGCAGCACTCTGGCAACGCTCTCAGGTAGCCCCCCTGGTTCCCCAACGTCCCAGCACACATGGCCGGTCCAACGGATCCTCCAGCTCCTCCTCCAAGAAGACCCGTCGCCGGGTGGCCTCCATGGCCCAGAGACGAGCCGCCAATATTCGCGAGCGCCGTCGCATGTTCAACCTGAACGAGGCCTTCGACAAGCTCCGTCGCAAGGTGCCCACCTTCGCCTATGAAAAGCGTCTCTCCCGCATAGAGACGCTGCGCCTGGCCATCACCTACATCGGATTCATGGCCGAGCTGCTCAGTGGCACGCCCTCGAACTCCCACTCACACTCCCACTCCCACTCGAAGTCCCGTTCTGATGTCTATCCCGGCATGAACGGACACCACCAGGCAGCCCCACCTTCGATGCACCCCCCCCATCACCTGCACCCAGCGGCGGCATATCATCGAGACTTTGCCTCTCCCTACAGCCACAGCCTGACATAGGACTCGCATTGTGGATCACCGCGGACTAGAAAATGTTAAGCTTTTGCTTTTGAAAAGAATACAAGATGATTAAGTGCACATCCACAATCCTTTTTGTGAGTGATAACAAATAAAATTAGAACACCCCATCCAAGTGTTTGATGTTTAATAGTAATCGAATAACAACAAGGAACTACGATCAAATGGACTGTATTCGAGTTTTTAGTAATCGTCTCATCAAAAGCCAATCAACCAGTAGGCTTTCAACCCGAAATTCGGTTACTTAAAAATCAAATATTGTACACCACCAACATGTCCAGAAGTACACCTGATAATCCCTTTAAATAGCCAATATTAAAGGCTGGCAGTAAGCCTCGCACTTGTTTCGAACAATTTCATGCCCTGCCGCGATGCCGCGATGCCACGATGCCATGATTTGCGTGCGAATCATTCCAGCTGCTGGGTACACCAGACACATGTCCTCAATGAAGTCACATTGCGTACATGGGCCACGGGCCCCCCCCAAAAAAGAAAGAAAACTATTATACAATACAAAATTTGACAAGGCAAACAAAGCGTGAAATTATTATTAATAAATTGAGGCAGACACTGGAGAGGGGAGGGTGCGATTCAAAGTCAATTGGAACAACCCCTAAAACCCAAACAAGTGTAACACTTGAGGGATTCCCCGTGCAACGCAGGCCTTGGCTGCTGGCTAAATAGCAAGGAATTTTTGCGTTCAACGCCCATTTTCAACAGATTAGCGTCCCTCGGCCAGGGCCAGCAAATTAATTCTGAACGGATATTGCAAGGACATCAGCCAGCGAGGAGGGTTGACGGTAGACGGTTGACTCCTGCCCAACAAAGAAAGGGTCGCGTCGCTCCCTGTTCCCCTGTTGTTTTGGTCGTTTGGTCTGTACAATATGTTTTGATGAATTTGTGACACTTCATGCCGTATTAAGTCCATATCCGTCTCCATCTGCATATCCATATCCTGTCGAGAGGGTGGGGGGTGGCTTACCGCATCCCTTCACCTATGAAGTGGCCTCACGTGTCGCCGATTAGCGCATCAGGAAATCGGGAAATCAGCTACAAAATCTGTCTTTTCGATACCTGTGGTGTGGGAAAACTTCATAAAATACGGTACTACTGTATGAATTTGTTTGGGTCCGCCTACAATACTAACAATGATATCTCATCATCTCATTCCACGGTCTTAACGACACGCCGCGTGTTCCATATTAAGTTATTCCCATAGTAAATCAGGTTATAGATTCCTGCATCCGTGCATCCCTGCTTATCCGCTTGTATTTCTGTCAATGGGTATGACGAATTCATTTAATTTTGCTGCAATATCTGACAGTTTTTCGCAATTTTTCGACTCTTTTTTGGCAGGGCGTAATTAGGGCAGTGGCGAATATATATTAGGTCATGATAGATGGGAGTGTGGACATCAGATTTACCAGATGTTTTCAGAGCAGAACCATACACCCTTCCCACTCTTTCCCGCTGCCATTCTGTCATTTTCTAAGTAGTGTAGCACATACTGGGACTTATCTATGATGAACTGGAAATCAATAAACATCGTACATAAATTCCACTATCTGGATGCTTATCGTCGATTCAATTCGTGTGTTTTTTGCTTTGCAATTGAAAGCAATACTCGTACACGATCAGGGGCCACAGTTAGCAGCCAGAACTCCTACTGAACAGCATGTCGAATCCCATCTCTGAGACCTGGCCGGCCTGGCTGGACCAGCAGGAGCTGCAGAGTCTGCTCAAGCAGGAAATGGCAGACTTCAGGAGTATCCAGAGCATTCGGGGCAAGTGGGAACAGAATTTGGTGCGACCTACGTACAGTGTCCAGCTCCAAATAGAGTGTGCGGGTAAGAGTGTCACTGGAAAGCACATGAGCTCCATTTCCACTACTCAAAAGTGTCCACAGGCAGCAAGAAACGTTGTCTGAGCTTCTTGGTGAAGTCCCCTCACATGTCGCCCAGCGGAAGGAGGTTCCCCATTGAAGGGGACTTCTCGATGGAGCTTCAGATGTACGAGAACATTCTGCCCGCTCTGGAAGGTCTCTACAAGGCTGAGGGCCAGGACATTCGGTTCAGCGTCCCGTTCCTCAGGACACGGAAGACCCGGTGCCTGCTCTTAGACAACGCCCAATCAAGGGGCTACAGTGTGGCCAACACGCCCAAGGGCCTGGAAAGACCCGCCATGGAGGCAGTTCTATCGAAACTAGCGGCTTATCATGCGGCCACGGTGCGCTATATACAGACGGGTTCCGATAAGAAAAGAGAGCTGCCAAAGCTCGTGGCCGGTGCGGCAGGGGAGCTCAAGAGCTTGCTTCAACTTCGATTCCATGAGAGCCTGCGAACGCATAACGCGAGAGAGTACGAAGACAAGGTGGTGAGTGATCGACTAATGGATACCCTTACCATTGTTAAGCAACGCTCTCCCCTTCGGCACAGAAAGCGTTCCAGAGGTACGTTGGAGGAACCATCGACCCTTCAGACACTAGGAACTCATTCAACGTCATCCTGGTTGGGTGCTGTTTGCCCAACAATATACTCAACAGCACTGATGCCTTTGGGCACGTTAAGGACTCTCTGTTCATCGACTTTCAGGCCGCCAAATACGGGCCAGCCGCGTATGACCTCTTCAGCCTGCTTCTGACGGCACCCGCCAGTCCGAAATCCCTTCACTTCGATGGCTACCTGAAGTTCTACCACGATCAGCTAATAGCCAATCTTGGCCTGCTCAAGTACCGCGGCAGGCAGCCCACCCTCACCGACCTGCAACTGGATCTGCTGAAGTACGGTCACTGGGGTAGGTCGGGCCTCCGTTGATCCCCCAACTGTATCTAAAACTCGTATCTCGCTTTTACCTTAGCCTTCGAGGTGGCCACGGAGATTCTGCCGCTCGTTCTCTCTCCCTTTGGCAGCGGTGACGAGGACGTTGACGATGACATAGTCGAGCTGTTCAGGAATCCAGTCTATTCGGAGCAGATAAGGGAGCTTCTGCCATGGCTGGAGGATCGTGGCTACTTCGAAGAAGAATAAACACCCAAGAGAGAGAGAGAGACAAGTGGAGGTGGAGGTGGGGGCTCATTGTGACATTCAATAATGTTTGGGAACAGATAAGAGCAAATAAAACACCCACCTAATAGTGAACAGGCACAATGGGGGGGAAGAATCTGCTGTCGCGTGCTAGAATCGGATGGATTCAAATACTGCGCAATCATTGCACTCAATAGTTGCTAGAAATCTTACCAAACAGGTCCCCCCCCACCCAAATACATGCAAAAAATTTAATCTAACGACGCAATCGCGCAAAAGCTCGATCCAAAAAGCTTTATTTGTTGACAAACTCGTGCTCGATCTACAAATAAAAGGCGTCTGCCATCAGACGTTGACCGAGAGTCGAGACGAGAGCCAGTCGAGAACAATGGTTAAGGCAAACGGGAGCACAGCTGGGGAGCAGGAGCAGGAGCAGCAGCAGCTACCGGAATGGCTGGATCGGGAGTTGTTTGTGGAGTTTCTAGAACGCGACTTTGAGGATCTGAAGAGCATCAGGGAGTTTAAGGTGGAGCCAACTGGCGGCAAGGGAGAGAACTACACAACCCTCTTGCTGCGTGCCAATATCACCCTAGAGCTGAATGGTACGTGGTATATTTGCATTTGATCGATGATTAACTGTTCGTTAACGGAAGGCCTTTTGCACCAGATGGCTCTCTGAAGAGCACCTCTTATATGGCCAAGGTGCTGCCAAATACTGCCAGCACACGGGCTTTCGTTGCCACTTGGAAGGTGTTCGAGAAGGAGAGCAACTCGTATGCCAATTACCTGCCAGATTTCGAGCGGATGTATCGGGAGGCCGACAAGGAAGTTACCTTTGGGCCGCGCTACTACCAGCACTCGAAGCAGCTGGACGAGGATCTCATTGTCCTGGAGGATCTGGGCCAGCGTGGCTTCAGGAATGTGAAGCGTCAGGATGGCTTCGATATGGTGCACACCAAGGCGGCCCTCGAGAAGTTGGCCCAGTTCCATGCCGCTTCGGCAGTGCGATTCGAACTTAAGGGACCGTATCCAGAGATTTACAACCGGAATCTGTGCGGCACAGAGGATAACTTCAAGGAGTTGCGGGAACAGCAAACCAAGACGTTGGTCGAATCGCTGCCCCTCTTTGATGCCACGCACCTGCAGAAGACAATTGTAAATAGATTTTCCGATTCTCATTCCGATATGCTAATTGGGGCCTTTACAGGAAACCTACAGCCGAGCGACAGAAGACATGTTCCAGGCGTACGCACCCCAGATAGAGAACGAGTTCCGGGTGCTCAACCATGGCGATGCCTGGTGCAACAACTTCATGTTCCAATACGACGACGAGGGTCGGCTGAGCGAAACGTATTTCGTAGATCTGCAGATGAGTCGGTACTGCTCCCCCGCCCAGGACCTGCTCTACATGATTCTTTCCTCCGTCAACGGCGACCTAAAGATACAAAAGTTCGACTACTTCATCCACTACTACCACGAAAGACTCACCGAAAACCTGACACTGCTGAAGTACCCCAAGAGCCTGCCGAAGCTCAAGAGCCTGCATCAATCGATTTTCCTTTACGGGGACTGGAGTAAGTACCAGAGGATTACCACTAATAAGATTTTACCTTACGTGCGTCTGTTTGATTAGTTTTCCCGGTGGTAACGCTTCTCCTGCCAATCGTCCTTATCGATGCCAGCGAGCATGCCAACATGGACGCCCTAATGGACAAGGAGGGATCCGGCGACCACTTCAGAAACAGCCTATTCCACAACTCGCGCATCGAGAGACACCTTAAGGAAATCCTCCCTTGGGCCCACAGTCGAGGCGCCTTCGAGGTGGTCAACACATCCTAGATTTCTGTTCACAGATGTAAGAATTACGGGAATAAACCAAATATAAACAATACAATACGACTCTGTCTGCACTTTGAGCGGTAACTCAATTAGAGGTGAGGTTCGGATCACATTCACTCAATTCCCAGCACTATCACTCGTGCGGCACTGATAAAACAATAGACTATAATACTTGTACTTATCAACAGTGCGGGCTATCGGCGATGTCCACTGAGCCAGTGATTTGTGCGACGGAACTAAGCACGGTGCTGATATTTGCAGTCAAACATCAGTCCCTAGACGTTCGCACAGTTGGACGGACGCACACAAACCACGATCCCTCTTCGAACAAAGAGTCAACGTACACACCTCCACAATGGGTCTACGAAATTCCAAGCCGAAGCGTAGCTATGAGGTGACACCTCCACAATCCGAGAACCAGAGCCCACCCCAGACGACATCCCCGACACCCACCGCGGTGCCACAGATGAAATCTGACGACACACCCAGCCCCAGCCCCAGCCCCAGCCCCAGCACCATCCCCATCTCCAGCTCCAGCCCCAGCGCAACAACAATTCCCGACGGCACTTCTTTGGTGCCAAATTGGCTGAATGAGACGCAATTTGTGAACATACTTGCTGCGAGTGTTCCTCACTTTTCGAAGATTCTTAGCTTCCGCGCTAGGCCCGCCATGTCCCCCGGAGAGAACTACGCCACTCTGATGCTGCGAATCAGCATCGATGTGGAGCTCGATGGTGAGTACTACCTGAGCCCGATATAAACGTACCTAAAAATAGATTATAGCCTACAACTCACGATACGTAATTACTGTTTGTCGGTGTTTGTGTTCGGTTTGGACTGCGATAACTAATCGTAAAATATCTTCAATTTACTTATAACATTGGCACAATAAAAGTCCGCTGTTGGTATTTCACAATGATAATAGGTATTGCTTGCCGAAGCTGGCTCGCATTAGCCATCTAACAATGACTGACCAATTTGAGTGTACTTGAAGGTGCAATGTAATTAGAGTAGTTTTTCAGGCAAATATTCTTTCGTTACATATCGCCCTTTCCCTTTTCCAGACAAAAGTACTAAGCACAAATCCTTCATGATGAAGGTGCCCCATAACACCCCTCAAATGGAGCAAATGCTGGCCATGGCAAACTTTTTCAAACTTGAGAATATGGCTTACATCGATATATTGCCGAAACTGGAAGAGCTGTACAGGGTCAAGGGAATGGAAGTGGCATTGGCACCACGAGCCCACAGACTGGACCCCAGCCAGGAGCCCAAGCTGGCCAATACCGTGCTCATGAACGATCTGGGACAGGACGGCTTCAAGAATTTGAATCGTCTGGAGTGCCTGAACTTGGAACAAACCAAATTTGTCCTGCGAAAAATGGCTCAATACCATGCGGCCACTGCAATGATGATTCAGGTGCATGGGCCTTATCCAGATACATTGATGAATGGTATTTTCGGAGCAAATAAAGATGCCATAAAAGCCTTTATGGACGGAATGCTTGGCGCCTTCCAAATTACATTTATGGAACATCTGAAGGACCTGAAGGATGGCGAGAAGTACCGGGACAAGCTCGTGAGTCGAACAATAAATGTGTACCCACTTTAATCGTACGATGTACCTAACACTGTATTCTTACAGACCAAAATATTTTCGCAATTTGTCACGGAGTTTGTGAAGCTAAGCGAGTACGATCCCTCGGAGTTTAATGTTTTGAGTCACGGCGATTGCTGGACGAATAACTTGCTGTTCAAGCTCGACCCCAACGGAGAAATAGAAGATATGGTGTTTGTGGACTTCCAAAATCCGAAATACGGATCCCCGGTCCAGGACCTCTTCTACTTTATCATCACTTCCGTGCACATAGACTACAAGTTGGCATATTTCGACTTCTTTGTAAAGCACTACCACGATCAGCTAACCAAACATCTAGATCTGCTGGGCTTTACAGGGCGCCAGCCATCGCTCCGGGAGCTCCACATGCAGTTTTATAAGTACGGAGAATGGGCGTTGTACTCCTCGATAACCGTGCTGCCTGTCGTGCTCTTGGATCCCACTGAGGGTGCCACATTCGAGAATTTCATGGGTGGCACCGAAGCAGCCGCCAACTTCAAAAACCTCTTGTACTCGAACCCACGCTACCGCAGCTATATCGAGCAGATACTACCTTGGCTGGACAATCGTGGTCTCTTGGACGTAGAGTGAGTACCATAAATGGATGGATGGGTGGATGGAGTGAGTTGAGAGGATGATTTTTGTTACATTTCGCAGCCAGCCGATACAGAATGAAGATACGTTGCCTTCGCAGCCCAAATCCTCCAACGCGATCTTGGACTGGATAACTGTAGACGACTTTAGTGATATAATTGCCGCCACAGATCCAGAGTTCGAGAGCATTGTGAGCGGTTCTTCGGAATTGGCAACCAAACCAGGCGACAACTATGCCTCCAAACTGCTCAAAGTTGACATCAACGTACAGCTAAAAGGTCTGTAAACTATTGCCAGCACACATATTGGTTATACTATAATTACTACAATCTTTTATCAGATAAAAGCGCCAAGACCTACTCGTATATCCTGAAAACACAAGTGGCAGCTAGTGATATGATTAACTTGGCCGACTTCAACCTATTTCCCAAGGAGATTATGGTGTACGACAAATATGTGCCCGGCTTCGAGGCACTCTATAGGGACGCAGGCCTAGCAGTTACGTTCAGTCCGAAGTCCTATAGACTGAGCAAGCCGGTCACAGCAGATACAGAGTATCTGATTCTCGAAAATCTGCAGGCAAGAGGATTCAAGATGTGCGATCGGATGAAGGGTATGGACTTGGAACATAGCAAGTGTGCTCTGAAAAAGCTGGCTCAATGGCATGCAGCTTCACTCCAGTACAAGGACCTCAATGGACCCTACCCCGCTCTCTGCCATAAAGGCATCTTTACCGAGAAAACGGCGGAGATATTGAAGCCCATGTTTGCCCAGAACAGGAACAAGTTTTTGGATGTAGTGGCCAAGTTTGATGGAGCTGATGAATATATGCATAAGCTGGTAACAGAAGATTTCTCATTGGCCAATTACCAATCTCACTCTCTTCTCTTTCTCTCTCTCTGCAGCCATCCATTTTGGATGCCCATGTGGCGGAAGTCATTAAAGATTCCAAGTTCAATGAGAAGGAGTTCAATGTACTCAACCATGGGGATGCCTGGGTGAACAACATCATGTTCAAATACAATGCGGACGGACAAGTCGAGGAAACCTATTTACTAGATCATCAGGTCTCGCAGTACGGGAACCCAGCCCAGGATCTATATTATTTCATAATGAGCTCCACCCAGTTGGATATTAAAGTTGATCAGTTTGATTATCTCATCAGATGGTATCATCAAAATTTGGTGGAACACGCCAAACTCTTGAAATACTCCGGCTTTGTTCCCACACTTAAGGAACTACACTTCATTCTGATAGAGCATCCCATTTTTGGTATGTCTTGGCCAGTCGGCGCACTACTCTATATATATGGTCAATTAAATCTCACTTGTGTACTTTTTCAGCGGTCGGCACTGTGGTTAGTACGCTATCCATTTGCCTGAACAAAGCCGATGACAACTTTACACCAGAAGCCATCTTTGGCGATAATCCTGAATCCGATGTCTTGAGATCAGAGCTAATGAGCAATGAACGATACAGAGCCAACGTTGAGCGTATTATGCCATGGCTAAATAGACGCGGGCTGCTCGATTTTCTAGTGGATTCTGTGGAAACCCCCGGAAAAACTGAATAACACATAAGATTCAATATTAATATTTACTACAGAAACAAGATATTAGATATTATATACTTTTTATATCTGATGATCACAATACTAAAATATCAGCAGCAGAAGCAAAAGCAGGTAAGACTTCGCCCTACTTAGTAGCAAACTTGATGGCCAAATATATGCTTGATATAAAGATAGCTGCTATAGCCAGCTTCTTCAGATTAGCTCGATTCACGCCTTTAATTGTACGAACCACTTCTAGATTGAGGCGGAACACATTCCGACTCTCTTCTATAAATGCAGCCCGCAACTCGTCATCAAAAGAGCCATACTGGCTGTTAAACACGCGCCGTAGCTTTGCCTTCAGTACATTAATCTGGAGAATAAAGTAGTTACATGTAGTATGAGGTACAACACAATTTGAAACCCCAATACTGACTTTGACTGGAAAGTATGTGGCCTCACAGCCAGGTGGACAAATCGTGACCTGAGCTGGCATTGGGCGCGCCTCCAAGTCTTCCTTATCCATACCAATGGAGGCAGCATTTGCAGTAGCTACCTCGGCATCTGCCTCAGCCTGCTTCTGTTGCTCCTCCTTGTCACCCTTGGGTAAAATCCACAGCTTGCGTGCAATCATTCGCTTCTTTTGCAGCATTTGGCCGCCTGACATCAGTGCCATGTACATTTGATACGCATAGGCAAAGAGAAGGAGCTCGTTCTGGGCCGACACCTTCTCCAGGTGTTCTAGATATTTCTTGACAACGGGCCGCGGCTCATATGTGTCCTTCCAGTTGGCACCGTAGAAATAGGCAAAGTCCCTTTCGAATGCCTCGGCTCTATGCAGCTCCTTTGGCAACAAGCGCTCCGGCAGACGGGTCTCAAAGAACTTGTATAGCTCGTAGAAAGCTAAAAGGCCATCGTACCAAACTTCATCGTCCGAAAGGGCTGAAAAAAACACGCATTTTAACAGGCATATCAACTGACTCCTGTCCAAAATCGAACATACCGAAGGCGAATTTTGCATTTACCAGAACGTCGGTCAGATTATGCACATCTTTTGTTGCTTTCCGCAGTTCCTTTGTGAACGTCATATCCACATACCCGTCATCGCCCAGGTCTTCTCCGGCCTTGTTATCCGCTGATTGTTCCTCGACCGTTGACATTTTGCGCAGTTCTCAAAAAATAAAAAATAATTTTATTTTAAAAAATCTATGGACAAAATATCATCCCTGTTTTTGCTCGCTTTATCGGCTTTCGATTTCTTTGGTATTTTCTGTATTCCAAAAACCGGCCACACTCAGCCCACTATATTTTAGTGCATAGTTTTTTTTTAATAAATTGTAAAAATACTAGAATAAGCCAAGTTTTTATTTAGCAATCAAAGTAAGTGTTGCTGGACAATTATGTGGCGTAAGCCACTGTTCAGTTGATGGAAAATTCTCCCATCTGGGTGGAAAATCTCTTCCGTAGAGTCTAATGCAGGCTAATGTGTCTGAACACAAAACAACATTTAACAAACCTTTTACTTTCATTGTACTCACAAAACACACATGTATTAACACCAATTGCAGTTTAAGAAGCAACAAGAACACTAGAAACCACACACCGCTTTGGCCCTGGCACCACACACACACACTCTTCTTTTCGCCCCACCTCCCCACGCCTGCTATTTATTTTTCCTCCTTTCCACGCACACCTCCTACGCCGTATCCAACAGTTGCTTTGATAGAACGATAGAATACGTACACTTAAAAGATTTTGAAGAAAATCAAAAAGCAATGTCGGATCTCTTTACCACTTTCGATAGCAACGGCGACGCCGAACACAATAACTACACCACTTCTAACAGCGGCCATCGCAACAGCTCAATGGCCTCGCCCTCTCAGCACAGTCCCATGACGAACAACAGCAACTCATCTTCACAAAACGGTGGCACAAGCGCGGGCACAGCGACTGGTTCAGGTGGTGGTAGTGGAAAGACATCCAATCATACAGCCTCAGCCGGAGGTGAAAGCACACCAGTAAGCACGTTCATTGTATCCAGACAAGTTGATTCGATACTGAATCTCGGAATCCTTTTCAGATGCTGACAAAGCCACGTCTTACGGAATTGGTTAAAGAAGTGGACACCACCACGCAATTGGACGAAGACGTAGAGGAGCTGTTGCTGCAGATAATAGATGATTTTGTCGAGGACACGGTTAAGTCAACCAGCGCATTTGCGAAACACAGAAAGTCCAACAAAATTGAGGTGCGGGATGTTCAATTGCATTTCGAGCGAAAGTACAACATGTGGATACCCGGATTCGGTACAGACGAACTGCGTCCGTATAAACGCGCCGCAGTCACAGAAGCGCATAAGCAACGCTTGGCCCTCATTAGGAAAACGATTAAAAAGTACTAGCCCGGCTTTCGTTGCATGCTCCATACATGCCACCAATTTTTTTAAGCTCCGAAGTAGTATAAGAAGAAAGTTACTCCCATTCTAACAAACTAAATAAAAGTGCATTCTTGATTTTACACGTATTTTACGACCCTCTCTAGGTCATCCACCTTGATGGAATTGAATACAAATGATTCGTCAGTATATTTTGAAACTGTGACGTATTTTTCGGTATATTTATGCGGGTGAGACCGTATATCGTCCGCGACTTATTGTCCACTTATTTCTGATTTTGCACAAAAACATTAAAAATTGAAGAAGAAAACCCGACAATATCTATAATGAAGCTGCCGGTAGTTTGTCGGACCTGCGATTCGACAGATGCTGATAATCTTCTGAAGCTGGCCACTCCCACAAAAAAATATCCAGACAAATTGCTTTCGGACATCTTGAGCGAGCTCACCGACATAAATATTAATGTAAGCTCTACATATGCTATGTGTTTTATGTAAATATATAAGCCATGTTTCAAATCTCTTCTGCAGCTGGACACATCTGCTAACCAGAGGCTTCCACAGTGTTTGTGCAGCAGTTGCACCAAGAAATTAATGGGAGCCTATTGCTATGTGAGGCAGGCGCTGGCCGCCAATGAACTATTGCTGAAGCACCTAAAAAACGGTACCGACTGTTTACAAGAAACGCCTATGGAACTATGTGCGGAGCAGCATGTGATGGTGAAACTAGAAACGGAGGATGAGGATGGAGGGAAAACTGAAACAGAGATAAATTGCTCTGGGTTACCTGAAATGGTCCCAGAAGAGAGTCCAGACGAAAAAGATTTCGACAGCAAGAAATCTGTTGATCCTCTAATAATGATCGATTCTGTCAAGCAGGAAACTGTCCAGGCCAGTATAGAAAAGCATGGAAATGACGAAGCCATGTCGGACTTTGAGGACGAAGAGTATGTGGGAGACTTCCTTCTAAAAAGCTAATATAACTGATGTCTATGTTTTGCAGCTCGCTGGATAACTTGCCACTGGGCCAGCGCATACAGAAATGGAAGACGGGAAATGGCGATGCCCTGCGAAGCTTAAACCTGTCGATTTACAAGTGCAATGAATGCCCAAAGAGCTTCAAACGAGCCGATTATCTAAAACGACATCAAATCAGGTCTCATAAGCCGGAATCGCGTTGGTTCTCCTGTTCACTCTGCATCCGGAAATTTAATAGCAGTGATGCCTTGGAAATGCATCTCAAAGTACATCGAAATTCCAAGCGCTCGGCTAATATAAGTGAGCATAAAAAGGCAAAGTCTGTGGATGTAAATCTTTGCAAACCGCATGGTTACAAGCTCATCGAATGCATGATCTGTCAGAGTCAGTACAACAAGATTGCGGACCTGCGACGCCATTTGGAGGAGCATCCGGAAATTGTTACCTTGGGAGTGCGCCCGAATATGGAACCCAATGAGTTGGCGGAGTTGTTCTATCCCGATAGATCCGATGCCAAGGATGTTGGCGAGGATCAATTAATTGACTTGATCCGCAAAGATTTGGCAGGTGGCATTTACCATCGCTTTTATTCAATAACCAATCAGTGTGGCTATGAAATGAACCTAGACAGCTCTGACACTGATAGTGAGCTGGACGTGGAGTCCGAAGATCAACAGAAAAAGCGAAAAACTAGAAAGGCCCACTACAGCTGCGAGCTGTGCCAACAGAGGTTCACAAGGAAGTATCAACTCTACGATCATCAGCGTCAGACGCACAGCTGGTCTGAAGCCCCTCATGTTTGCGGCCGTTGCGATGGGCGCTTCGTCAGCTTGCAAATGCTAAGGCATCACAATGAGTCACAGTGCAGAAATTCTCAAAAGCGATTCCTTTGCCACAAATGCCCACTGCGGTTCCGGTGGAAGCACAACCTGCGAGCCCACTTCCGAGAGCACCGAATCGCTGTAAGCCCCTCAAAATTACTTTTATTCCTCCTATTGTTATGTTATGTTATTTTGCTGCTTGCAGAATCAAACCTTTGAATGTTCCCAATGCAAGCGTGTTTTTGACAAGAAAAAATCCCTGACTGTTCATTTACTCAGCGCCCACGCTGAGGAATCGAAGCTCATTCCGTGTCAGTGGTGTACGCGCAAGTTCTATCGCCATGACTACCTGGTGAAACATCTAAAGCGTCACGGGCTCAAGGAGCAGGACATTCCGTTGGCCGAGACCCTGATAGCAGCCACATCGAAGCGAAATGGTGCCAAGCGCATTACCTGCAAAATTTGCAACCTGGATTTTGACCGCATTACAGATTTGCGCGCCCACATTCAACTGGAACTAAAGCTGTCTCTCTCGCTGCACCATAGCTACGATTCCCCGCATAACTACTCCATAACCAATGAATCCGGCTTCGAGATGCAGCTTGAGGATTCGGAAACAGAGGACGAAGTACAAACTGGACTGGGCTCTGGCAACCGTCCTCCCTACGTCTGCGAGCTTTGCAGTGTCCAGTGCAAGCGCAAATTCGAAATGATCCAACATCAACGGACCATGCACCGCTTCGACAAAATGCCTCATGAGTGTGATAAATGCGTTTTTAAGTGTGTGTCCAAGGTATGTTTTTTGGTCAAACAGCCATTGTATAATTTAAACTCTCAAAGCTTCTCCTTTTCAGAATATTATGGATCATCATCTTCTAGGGCAGTGCAACAGCACAGAGAAGAAGCATGCATGCAGCAAGTGCACCTATAAATTTATGTGGCCTGAGAATAGGGATAAGCACGTGCGGCTCCAGCACAGCGAGGTCTCCGAAAGCACCAAAGCAGCTCCAAAGCCGGCAGGTGGTCTTGCCGATATGGTCGCCACAGAGGACGGGGTCCAGCTGCTGCAATGCCCGCACTGTGATCGCACCTATCAAATGAAGTCGCGATTGAACAACCACATTCGGGACGTTCACGTAAACGGGGATCGAAAGCGCAAGGATGCGATCAAGAGATTCCTTTGCTCGCTTTGCGGCAGAGAAACACGGTCGGCTGCTGCTCTGGTTACCCACATGCGACGCCACACCGGCGAGAAGCCCTTTAAATGTGATCTATGTGAAATGGCTTTCCCGAGACACTCGGAGATGGCTTCGCATCGCAGGATGCACACGGGGGAGAAACCATTCCACTGCACAGTTTGTGGCAAGGACTTTGCCCGGTCCGACAAACTGACCCGCCACATGCTCACCCACAGCGGATTGAAGCCGCACAAGTGCACGTACTGCGAGAAGAGCTACCGGCAAGCCAAAGATCTGAAGCTCCATTTGCAGCAGCACACAGGCGAATGTCCATTTATCTGCGGCACCTGTGGCGAGCGCTTCATTCAAAACATCACCCTGGAGAAGCATCGCCTTATGCGCCGCCATTTCGATTGGAGTTTGCCATAATTTAATAATTAAATAATAAATGCATCATTTATTCAACGGATATCTGCAGACCTGTTTTTTATTTTAAATGTGGGAAAATATCCTTGGTCCTTGATATGGACTCTATCAAAGCAGGGAAATTTTTTCGGTTACAGGAAGTCATCGCACACCTAAATTGACCCACAAATAGAGGAGAAACTAAATATATATGTCTTATCCTTATCCAAGGATCAAGGATACTCTTCCGATCACAGGATGCCATCGCACGTCCCGATCGGCCAACAAATAACGGAGAAAATTCCACTTTTTTAGCTGGGGAAAATATCCTTGATCATTGGTCCTTGCAAAGGACTCCATAAGAACAGGGACATTTTTCCGATCACAAGGAGCCATCGCACGTCCCGATCGGCCCACGAATAACGGAGAAAAGAAAAAAACAAAACTGGCCTGTTGTTGTTGTGTCCCAATTGTTGTACAACAACAACCCTGATTTTGCCGCCGCTCAAATCAGAAATTTCGGTCTGGGATACCAGGCCAACATAAATCAGCAGAAGGTCGCTGCTTTTTTAGCCCCCAAAAGTATGCACCACAAAATTTTCCCCATTTTCTAGAGTTGCTTTCTGCTGATTTCTGTTGGCCTGGTATCCCAGTCCGAAATTTCTGATTTGAGCGGCGGCAAAATCAGGGTTGTTGTTGTACAACAATTGGGACACAACAACAACAGGCCAGTTTTGTTTTTTTCTTTTCTCCGTTATTCGTGGGCCGATCGGGACGTGCGATGGCTCCTTGTGATCGGAAAAATGTCCCTCTTCTTACGGAGTCCTTTGCAAGGACCAAGGATCAAGGATATTTTCCCCAGCTAAAAATTTTTCAATTTCTCCGTTATTTGTTGGCCGATTAGGGCATGCGATGGCTTCCTGGGAGCGGAAGAAAATCCTTGATCCTTGGATAAGGATAAAGGTAAGGATCGGAAAATGGACATTCCTTTTTACGATTTTCGCAAAAACCATAATGTTCTTTCCTGTATGTTATATGTATCTCGGGCGTGGGCAATGAAATCCTGCCAGGAGACCCCCAATAATAAAAAAACGAGTCATTTGATTTAGGGGCCATTTCTTGGCCCCCGTGGTTATTTGAATACTTTAATTTGAGAAAGACAACACTGGTAACACGCAAGTCGAACAATCTAACACTTGCAATTTTGGGCAGCGATCATTGGACCAGATCAAATCGCCGAAAATAGTTGACAAATACTGTGCTGTGTGTGTGGTGTGAGGGGGTGGCGTGATGGTGCGTGCATCTTTGGCAGTTCCGTTCTTCTTGTGTGCTGCATAGGGAGGCAAGCTTCCTTTGGGCTGATTACAATTTGCTTAAACATTTAACATAGAGAATGGGTTTGGTGGGGGGCAAAAAGTACCTCCGGCTTAGCAAATGCCAGCTTTCGGGAAGCAACCAGCATCGCCGGCGCCATTTCCACAGGGTCCTGCAAAAGATCAGTTTTAGTTAGCCAGATGAAAAGACACAAGCGCCTGCCGACTGACTCACCGCCACAACGCGAAAAGGCACCCGGGGGCCCATAGCTAAGCTTCTGGATGGTACACTTCTCAATGGGTCCGCTGGGGCGACAGTAGGAGGTGTAACGAGCCCAGGGCAACGGCTCCTTGGGCGGAAGGCAATTCGGCAAGTAGCTCAGCTTGTATGTAGTACAGTTCTCCACTGGTCCCTCGTTGCGGCAGAACCCGGCTCTGGGTACGACGGCCTCTGGCCGCGGGAAGCAAGTGACATCCACCGGCATATACGACAGCTTGTTGACCGTGCAGCGTTCCATGGCGCCGCTGGGACGACAGAAGGCCGAGCTCGGCATAATGGGGGATCGGCGCACGTGCGGCTTCGGCACAAAGTCGTGCTTCTGGGTGGTCATGGCGTACATGGGCCCATCGAAGCGCAGTCCATTTTCCATGGGTCGAATGGGCGCAGTGCGTTCAGCACAATTTGGCTGATAGGAGAGCTGAAGGAGAGCCAGTATTAGGATTACTATTCAAGCTGGAGACTAAAATATACCCACCTTTTGTATGGTGCATCGCTCCAGTGGGCCGGTGGGACGACAGAAGGTGTCCCTGGGCAGGATCGGCGTGGGCTTGGTGCGCGTGGCATCGACTGGCATGTAGCTAAGCTTGTAGACAGTGTTCCCGGCAGAGGGATCGTTGCCAAGGAAGCGTAAATTGGATACCGGCATCACCGGTGCAGTGCGTCCCGGATTGCAGTTGGGCATGTAGCTCAGGTTGTAGGTTGTGCAGATGTTCTGGTAGCGCGGTGGCACGCACCGGATCTTGTCCGCCCAGGGAGTGGGCTCCTTGGCCGGCAGGCAGACCGGCATGTACGACAGCTTCTGTATGGTGCAGCGCTCCAGCGGGCCGCTCGGCTTGCAGTAGTGCGATTCCTGGGGCACGGCCTTGGGCGGCGGATTCTGGCAGACGTCGATCGGCATGTACGACAGCTTCTGAATGGTGCAGCGCTCCATGGGAGCGGACGAGGTGCAGATGGCCCCGGCCGGCTTGATGGGCTCCCGCTTCGCCACACCCTTGGGCACGTAGTCGTGCTTCTGGGAGGTCATAGCGTAGATGGGTCCCTCGAAGCGTAGCCCGCTCTCCATGGGTCTGATCGGCCTGGTGCGCTGGCCCGGGCAGGGCGGCATAAAGGACAGCTTCTGCACCGTACACTTCTCGAGTGGCGCGGTGCTGGTGCGGATCTGGGAGCACGGCAAGATTGGACGTGCCCGCAAGTTGTCCCCGCAGTTGCCGTAGTACGAGCGTCGGTAGATGGTGTCCGTATCCAGAGGCGCCGTCGAGCGCATGAAGTTGGAAACCGGCAGAATGGGTCTGACGCGCGCCGGCTGCTGGTAGCAGCAGCCGTTGTAGTCCCCGCAATCGCATGGCGGGCACGACGAATTGGGTGGACAGGGGGTGAAGTCGGTGGGCGCCTGGCAAGGATCGCACACGTTCGGGCAGTATGTGTTGCAGTCGCCCGACATAGCAGTGGTCTGCTAAATCTGATTTGTTAAATGTGGCAGACAGCGGCGTAATCTCAGAACTTACAGCTTGTGTTGTTTATGTTGCACTACGTGGGACGGGGCACGGGGCTCGGGGCACGGGGCACTTGTCAAAGGAATTAATTTTGCTTGCCCGAGCGGAGAACAGTTGCAGATCACACTTAAAACATTCGGAACGACTAAAAAATAATTTTGTTCAGATATTCACGACGAATATATGTTACACACAGACTGGGGATACAGATAGTACTGAGAAAGAGTAGTACAGAGTGACGTTTGGGGGCCAGGCAACGTAGTGATTGGAAGTCGAACGAACAGATGATTTCCAGGTTTGTATACATCGTTTATTTCAATATATTTCTTTCTTAGCGGGGATATGTGATATCCTGATACATCATAAGCGGGGCGGCACCCTCTAGGATATGCGATTGCGATTAGGAGAGATATAAGCAAAGGCATCCTTCGAGCACTTGAACGTAACGTAACAATACAATACATAGAATCAAAAAAAAAGGGTTTGAACCATCAATTGGAATCGGTTAATGTGCCTAACTAAGCGTCTAACTAAACTCGATTTAAATAATTAAACATTAATAGACAATCACGTAAAATATAACTTATTTACAATGGTTTTTTCCCCATTTCTTTGCTCTGTATGGGCATAGGGTGTATGTAGGGTACATAGGGATATATAGGCGGCTGGGAAAATACTTCAAATTCAAAGATCAGCAAGCATTCAACCAATACGTAAACATCGATCGAATGCATGAATTTAACAAACAATTCCATTCGCGGGCTAAGCATAAAATCAATCCAAAGTTCAGTCCAGTGTATAAGCTGGAAATCCTTTGATCGGCTTAAACATAGTTATCTGCTCTCTTATCTTATATCGTATCATGTAATGTGTTTCGGATATAGCAAAAATACAATTCTATAATTATAATCTGTTTTGTGTTTGTGTGTGTGTGTGTGTATATGGTTCAGTTCGCTCCCCTTCGACACTATCGACATTTGTATCGTGTATACATTATATATATCTAGAGTTTGTGGTTCGGGTTCCGGTTTTTGGTCCCTTACAGCGTCGGCAGGTTGTCGGGCACTTGGTCCAGGAAATTGGCCGGAAACTGGCCCTGCCGTCCTCCCGCCTCGCCGAACAGCCACTCCTCGTTTATCCTATAAAGCACTGTGACCAGTTCGTTCTCCTGTTAAGCAAGGCAAAGGATGGATCGGGCTAGTAAGGTCATACCCAGACAAAACAATTGCTATTCAATATTCTCACCTGCAATGGCAGATCTCCTTCGACCCCGCCGGGGAAGTGATATAAACAGAGCGCAGTGGGCTCATTATTTTGGCTCTGGTGCTGTTGCGTCTGCTGCTGCTGTTGTTGCTGCTGTTGTTGCTGCTGAGGCGGCGCCTGTGCTTGTGGTTGTGATTGTGAGACACCCGCACCCAGGGGCACTTTGATGTCCACATAAGTGACCGGGAAAATACCCTCGCAGCCGGAGCGCGTGCGTCCGCGCATCCATTCAGGTGTGGGCTGATCCAGCAGATAGATTTTCTCGTTTTCCTGCAATAGCCGCGTCATTCAGTCAGAGAGGAGAAACATTCGGGACGTCCGTCCTCAAACACTTACCCTAAAGCTAAGATCGCCCTCTTCGACGCCGTCAAAGTCGTATAGGGCTATGGCGTATGGATTCACCTCCTCTTCGACGTAGCCCGAGCAGCCATTGCTGAGGGCCATGGCATCCACCCTGCCCGCAATCACGTCCAGCATCGAGATTCCTGCCGCTGCACTTCCCACAGAGGAGGGCAGTGGTGGCGGAGCCCCCTTGGGCATGGGGGGAGAGGGCGGATTGAAGGCTCCTCCATAGCCGGGTGGCATTCCACCGACGAATGGCGGAGCCCTGGGAGCCTTCGGCTTCTGCGAAATCTTCGGCTTGATGATGGTGGGCATGGTCAGCGATTGTGTGGGCGGCAGCAGGCTCTTGCCGTTGCACAAAGGATTATCGGACGAGCGGACCTGATTGGATGTCTGGTACGTCTGACGCACCGCTGCCGAGCCAAAGCTGTCCACCCCGCCGCTGTGGCCGCCACTGTCCACCGCCTCCCAGGGATCGAGGGGACTCTGGGTGGCCGGTCGGGATAGTCGATGGTAGTCGTCCTCGAACCCGCTCTCCGGCTGCGAGACGCTGCCGTTGTGGGGCGAACTGAAGTTGCTATCCGAGCTGAAGCTGTCGACACTCACGCAGTCGCTGTTGGACTTTTGGGTGAAGGTGGGCGACGATGGCGGCGAGTCGAAGCTGATGAGCTGTCCATCGACCGCAGCCGCATTGCTAGTCGTCTGTGAGTAGTAGGCGCTGCTGCTGCTGCTGCTGCTGCTCGTTATGGGGGCGGTGGTGGTGGCCGTGTTCCAAGCAGCATTCCAATCCGTGTTGCTGAACCCCCCACTGCCCGAGGATGCACTGGCAGCCGCCGCAGCTGCTGCTGCTGCTGCTGTGGGTGCCGTCGTCCCGGCATGTCCGCTGCTCAGGCCGTAGACGCGACTCTGCAGTGCGGCCTTGGAAGCAGCAGCCGCTGCCGTGGACGATGTCTTCTTGCGGTGAAAGATGTTGGAGATGAGGCTGCCCCCGCCACCGGTCGACGTCGCCGATTGGCCTGTGGAGGCAATCTTCTGTCCATTCACTTGCACCTGCACCTTCGGCGGCGGCGGTCGCGGCGGTGGCATCTTCCTGAAGTTGCCATTTCCATTGGCAGCAGCTCCTCCTCCCCCTCCTCCCCCTCCGAAGGGGTCGTCGTCCCAGTTGGTGGTTGGCGTGTACCGCGCCTGTGGGAACTTTCGCGTGATGCTGGAGCCCGTCTGCACCTCAAAGAGATTGTTGTTGTTGGATCTCTTGTGCTGCGCATTCAGCGAATGCTGCTGCTGCAGCGGCCCCCTGGGCGGCGGAGGGAGCTTGATGGTTAGCTTCTGGAGACTACCGCCGTGCGACTGCTGCTGCTGCTGCAAGTGCTGCTGCTGGAGCTGCAGACGCAGCTGATCCAGGCTGGCATTGGCTCCAGCCGCGGCGCTCTGGCCCCGTGATCCGGGCGGTGCTGGCGCCGGTCGCGATGGAATGGTCATGTCGCCTGCAAAATAAAACAACCAATAAACAAATGAGTTCTCTTTCCTTTCAAGTACTACTGGCGGGTGCTGGAGGGTATCGTAGGGCCTCACACCTGGGACTCTAGCCGGCTCCACGAGTCTCCTCGGGACTATTATACTTAACAATTTTCTCAAATAGATCCGAAAATATTTAAACATTTTTTTGATGTTTGCTTTGTTTTTTGGGGCAACTTAAGGATGAAAACGAATGTAACGTCTCTTGGTGAGGCATGAATGGTATGCAAAAAGTTCACTATACGGAAAAAAGGCATCTCAGAAGCCTATCTTGAGCCTTCGGGATTTATGTGTATAAGTACATACATATGTATATCTGAGTCGGTGTCGCCCCATGGCCTGCTGTTCTATGCCGTGCACCTGGGTATGTACATTCGTAGTGTTTACAAAACAAGATAAGAATTTCGGCCAAGAGCCACAGCCCGATAACAGGGGAATTATGGCCAAGACCTGTAGATAAAATAGCTCCAGGCATAGAGATAACCCCCAAGTGGAACCATTAGAACCGGGCGGCAATCGAGTGATTCATTCGCAGTCTACGGGCACGGCTGGAAATCAGATTCAATGGGAACTATCATAAAAGAGGTCTCCCTCTTTCGCGAAATGCCATAGTAATAAAAAGCCATCCATCGACAGGCAACGGCCATGACATCGAAGAAGCAGAAGGAAGCTTTTTGTTTATGTTTTTCTTTCGCAGCATTGACGTCACGTTACGTCACGGCATCCCATTAAGGTAGAGATCCTCATCCCCATCCCCATCCCCATTCCTATTCTGGTGCAAATGCACGCCCTCAAACCACAAACCAAATGATCTTTCTGCTTTCTGCTAATTATTTGGATTTTGGTTCGACTTTTGTAAACAAGGGGGCATCTGTGATATCAGAGAGGGGAGCAGAGAGTGGAAACAAATGCCCAAATTAGCCCGAAATGTTGCAGTAGCTGCCTCGGGCCTCGTGCTTCATGCCCCACTTGCGACAGACGTCTCTCGGTGCGGGTCGGTGCCCGGCACATTACGGAACCGTATCCGAGCGCCTCTACAGCATCTCTGATAGAGAGAGAGAGAGAGAGAGAGAGAGGAGCGCACAATAACTGGGGGGAAACACTGGGCTTGGGGCACAATGTTGGATTGATAAGAAGAGCCGCCCGCTGTAGAGAATAACAAAATTCAAATAATAATATTCTTATCGGAATATTTTACGTCGCAAAAAAAGTATTGGGACTCCCTCCCTCCCCCTCCCTAAGCTGGATACAATTTTGGAATGTTTCATTCATTAGAAATACATTCAGAGGAATAGATAAATAGTGGCGGCGTCATTCGGAGAGAATTCCCCAAAGCGCATTCCACGAGAATGGATTATGGATTCCACGCAATTTGGTATCCGCCTCTCAGGGCTGGACCGTGATCGGGGGGGTGTATTCTATTACGTGTGGGCTGTATTTTGACACATGGCGGCCAAGTAACGTGTTTCATTTCCGCATATGTTAAGCGACAGTTGCCGCAAATTCAAATTCATTTATGAGCACAAAGATAAACAGTTCTAAAACTTTCAAACTTTCATCCGATTTCATAAACAAAACAATGAATGCATGCGAAATTCATGTAAATTTCTCGTTTCTTCCAACAAACAGCTCAAAATCAACAATCAATAGCGGGAAAAGAATAGAATACGAAAGTAAACCTAGATTTGTGTTAGAGAGTGTTGTTTCACTGAGGAAACAAACGGAACGTACGGAATGGCTGAGTGAATGAATGACTGATTGTGACGCTAATCGCCGACACGTTGCCGCCCGTTGCCCCTTGCCCGTTACTCGTTCAGACCAAAGCGGAGAGCTGCGAACAAACAGTTACAGTTGCAATCTAATTAAAATCACCTTCAGAAGGTGCTGATGATGGAAGGCAGGGTGGCAGGGCGGCAGGGCGGCAGTGAGGTAGAGCGGTAAAGGTACTGTCTGCCCACCCACTCATACACCCCATCCCACACAGGCACGTCCACTCGTACAGTGGAATTGTTGGGATTCTGAATGCCAATTT